ACAAGTGCCATACTAGTAGAAACAAGAAGCTACTAGTAACAAGTGCCTTACTAGTATAGAAACAAGAAGAATTAACAATTAGGGAGGTCAACCACGCTACCACCGGGCCTACCACCGGGCCTACCACCGGGCTACCTGGTACAAGGGGCTCTTCTCACGTTCTGCGCGCGTTCTTCGCCCATGCGGATCTGCCTGGTTGATGAGGTTCTCCAGCTCCAGTGTCTCGATGAGATCGGTGTTCCTCAGGACTCGTTCGTTTTTGACAACCCAAAACGAACTCCAATGGGGTGACCGTGGACCTCAGCAAACTCAGTCCTTTCTGTACATATCGCTTCATAAGTTCAGTCAATTACTGTATTTTTCAGTGGTCTACATCCATTTCTCTCAACACAAATAGGACTTTAATATGTGTATTACACAATATTAGCCACAAAAAAACACAATCGACCGAAGGAAAGATGACCAATGGTTTCTTGCCCCTTTTTGGGGTCACAAATCGCCTGGGCCCAGGGAAAAGGCCGCCGCAAGAACTTCGTGGGCTGCCGTCGTTTCCCCATGTCCTTTTGCTTGATAATAATGGCCTTCAACCTATAGAAGCGATGGCCTCCAACCTAAGAGCGATGGCCTCCGTCCCAGGGGCATTGGTGGCATCAAGATCTCCACATGTTCCAAGCTGAGAAGCACATCTTTTGACGAATATCAATGACAAAAGATCTGCTCTTCCGTTGGACATTCAATGCTCCAACATGTGCTTTTGCATGATGTGTTAGATGACTTAGATGAGGTTCCTACATGATCAGTTGATTGTTACTACTAGTAAGGCACTTGTTACTAGAAGCGATGCACTTGTTCCTAGTAGCCTTCTTGTTCCTAGTTTGAAGATGATTGAAACCTTTGCAGCCGAACACACGGGTTGTAGCTGCGGCAGCCCGCGGTCACCCGGGCATCAGGGCATGCAGCGCGGCATCAAGTAGCGCTGGCGCCTTTCCACCCACTCCTTGACCTATTGGGTTGTCTAGTAGCAAGGCCAGGAGCCCCTAGTAATGTCCTTGTTCCTAGTAGCGATGCTAGTAACGATGCCAGGGAGCTAGTAGCTTCTTTGTTCCTAGAAGTCCGCCCGCACCGAAGGTGCTGAGGCGTTTTTAAAAGGCACGCATTATACCGCAAGTACCGCAAGTACTAGCTTTAGCTAGGGGGGGGGCCATTTTCGCTCTAGAATCCCGTGTTTTTTCACGTTTTTGGAACCGGCTTAAAGTGCTGGAAGATAAATTCGTGCTAATTTTTGCTATCTTGAAGCCTTCAGTGATGCAAGAAATGCAATTTTCTGCTTTGCATCATCTGCATCATCTGAGCGGTAAAGTGTAATTGGACTGAGGCCGGACATTTGGCTGAACAGGTGCCCCTAACGGGGCTCAACATAGCTTCCGTATTGCGTAACATAGCCCTAGAAGTCACTATCTAACGGACGTGTCTGCGAGATAGGGACTTGAACGTCCGGTAAGGAAAGATAAGGTCCAGGAATGGTGGTCAGGAGCAGA